TCCCCGACTCGACGGCTGGTAAATTGCAGCAAGTGGACAGTACAAATTGCAGGAGAACTCTTCCCGAAATCAGGTCTGAAGGGTCGGCGGAGTTGATGGTTGGGGAATGGGAAGAACTAGCTGGAGGGACACCGAAGTAACTCTAAAGTGAATCCCCGTTGGGAGTAAGAAGGGGAGCTCAGGAGGCGCAGGGTAACAATGGCAGGTTTATGTGGGTCGGGTTTGTTTCATCTTTGGAACTTTTTCACGAGCTGATTATGAAGAGGAACAAGTAGTATAGTGAAGTAACAGAGAGGTTACAGAGCATGGTTCATTTGCCAGCTAAAGGAAAGCGGCAAAGGAAGGAGGAGGGATTCATTCTAACCCTTCTGGCACGCCCCTCATTTTATTTTGAAGAAAAGCATGACCCACCTCTAGTAGTTTCTATTATACTAGCGACGTGATACTGGAGGGTGAAAATAGTTGCCCCAGTGAGCTTCTCAAGTAGCACCTGTGAGCGACATGCTCTTCGTTGTCTCATTCAGGCAGGATTAGCGACACACACGTGAGACAAGAGGGGTGATTTAGGAGACTGTGCAGTTCACTGTTAGAATACAACTCCCGCCCTAGATCAGCGGAAATATTATATTACTTGTTCATTGTGTTTTAAATGTTATTATATCAATTTCATTATCTTTATATTCTTTTGTCTCTTCTTTATTCTTTTTTTTATTGTGAAGGCAACCACAGTCACGACTCCTGATTGTAAGCTGGTAACAATAGGCGCTAGGCGCAAGAGTGGTTGTGATCTTGGCTCACTGCAATGACTGCCTCCCAGGTTCAAGTGATTTTTATGCCTCTGCTTCCTGATTAGCTGGGATTACAGGTGTGTACCACCACACCTGGCTCATTTTTGTATTTTTAGTAGATGGGACTTCATCATGTTGGCAAGACTGGTCTCAACTCCTGACATCAAGTGATCTACCTGCCTCCACCTCCCACAGTGCTAGGATTACAAGCATGAGCCACTACACCCAGCCTGTCTTTGGTTCTTGACAGTTATTTTGTGTCTAGGTATTGGTCTCTTTGCGTTTATTCTGCCTGGAAGTAATTGAACTTCTTGAATATGTACCTTAACATTTTTCACAAATTTGGGAAGCTTTTGACCATGATTTTTTCAAATATTTTTTTCTGCCCTTTCTCTTCTTGTTTTAGTACTCTAATTATGCATATGTTGATATGCTTGATAGTGTCCCACAGATCTCTAAGGCCATATTCATTATTATCTTTTCTTCCTGTTTCTTGTACAGAATAATCTCAAACTGTCTTCAAATTAACTGATTCTTTCATCTGCCTGCTCAAATCTGCTGTTGAGCCTCTAGTAAAACTTTCATTTTAGTCATTGCACCTTTCAACTTCAAAATTTGTTTGCTCTTTTAAAAATAGTATTTATCTCTCTACTAATATTCTCTTTGCTGAGATGGCTTTCTTTTGCTGTTTTTAGTTATTTGAAAATACTTAAAATAGTTGACATAAAGTCTTTGTTAGTCAGTCTAATTTATAGACTTTCTGAGAAACAGTTACTTTTGATAGGTTTTTTATCCCTGTGTAAGGGCCATACATTTTTGTTCCTTTGCATATCTCATAACTTTTTTTGTTGAAAGTTGGTCGTTTTAAATAATGTCAACTCTTAAAATCAGATTCTTCCTCCTCCCAAGAGTTTGTTGTCATTGCTGTTTGTTGTTGTTATTATTGTTCTGAACTGATTTTGTACAATTTGTATTCTTTGTTGTATGTGACCACTAAAGTTTTTGCTCAATTTGTTTAGTTATCAACTAATGATTGGACAAAGATTTCTTTAAATGCCTGTAACTAATATGCCTCCCAGACTTTAATGATGGGCTCTGTGTATGTGTTGAGGTATGCCTTTAATACCCAGTCGGGGAGTTGACAACTGCCTTACCCTTTGCTTTGCATTTTGAGCCTCAAAGTTAGCCAGAGGTGAAAGCTTAGGGCCTTTTCAGGTCTTTCCTAAGCATACCCACAGCCACGAGGTCATGCCCATAGCTGAACATATGCATGTAGCTTTCTAGATTCTTAACGATATGTGAAACTTTTGAAACCCCTGTTGACATCTCATTCCCTGGATTCTCCTTTTAAGCTTTTTATTTAGCCTGTTGTTCACTCTGTTACCTAGGCAGCTGTGATGTTAAACAATTGCCTCTAACTGTTTTCAACAAATGTCCTGGGAGTGGGTACTTTTCACACAGAGTAAGTGCTGAATCTGATCAAATAAAGACAGCTTTGCAGGTGAGGTCTTTGGGAGAACCACCAGACAGGTTAAATAATTACTGTTCTCCGAAACTGAGACTTTGAAAGAGTTCTGTTCCACTCTGTCTCCTCTGGTGGCTGCTAGGCTGCTAGTTTTCGTTAAGATTTTGGAGCATTGGTTTTCAAGACTACTACAAAGCTGGAGATGGGGGAGATGAGAATAGGCCAAATTAAAACATCACAAAACTTGCTGTTCCTACCAAGATTCCAGCTCCCCAATTGCTGTAAGTCCTTGATTAATTTCCAGAATTCTTAAAAATTGATTCAAAAATTTTAGACAGATTTCTTGGTGCTCTTATGAAGGAAAGATATTTTGGAGGCTCCCACTCCTCTGTTTTGCAGATGTCACTTTCTTTTATTTGTTTATATTCTTATTTATAGGTTATTCTAATGTTACTGGTAATTAAATACACTGTATTATCTATATATGCATATATTATAAGACTATAGTTAAGATCATTTTATTTCTTATTACTCTTTTAGGTATTGCCATAAGTAAACCTTTGTTCAGAGTGTAAACTAAGCTACCTTATACTGCATTTATTATTACATCCACCTACCCAGTCAGCCAGCCATGAAGCAAAGATCCATTGAGCATCTACCATGGTCAGGTCTATATGCTATAATTCCAGACACTGGTAGTGAAAAATATTTGGAAAGTGAAGAATTCTTAAGTATTTTAAAGAAAAACCAAATATTTAAATTTTTTGGCTCACATAGCTCTGAAAAATCTAATGTCACCTTGAGAGTAAGGGATTTGAGAGCTAAACATTTAAGATAGTATGTAAAGTAAAAAAGTAGAAAATGTTCCTAATTAGTATGTTCTAAGAGAAAGATTAGAAAACGGTCAAATATAGGCCCTTGGGTTTATGAGCTCAAAGTCTATGAAACCAGTCTATTAATGAATAAAATATCTTTTCCTGATTAAATATTATAAAACTTTTATTTTTTAAAAAATTTACTGATGGTATAACCAAGGAAATGAGATTCTAGGTTGAATTTTTTTCTGAAGTCTGAGAAATTCATGTCAATTAAATTAGTTTTTTTCCCTTCTTCTTTCCATAGAAAAGTAAGGAAAATAAATGATGAATTATAAACTAATCCCTCCTCAAACTCCAAATTGACAGCAATAGTGTTAATAATAGTCAATTTCATGTCAAGAGGAAAGCTTAATATAATTGAAATGGAAATGAGTGTTTAAAATGTAGAAACCTTTTCATATGTTTTAAGCAAATTATTTATTTTAGTATGAATGTTTGTGCTCTTTGTGGGGAACACACTGTTTGTTTTGAATGTCATTTTTTTCCGTAGGATAATTAGTGTTCATCTGAACTTATTGAATTAACATTTTTTATATTTAAATGAGATCAATGAACATTTTTATTTCTTCTCTTTCTTTTGGCCTCAGTTAACCTTTAACATATTATTATTTAATATTGAAAAAAATAGCCAACTTTGCCAGGTAAGCAAGGGATTTTGTTGCATAAACAATACAGTTTTTCTGCTTACCTGATATAGCCAGATATGTTTTTCAATATTAAATAATATATTAAGAGAGAGACTGAGGAGAGAAATGACAACTTGACATAAATGATATAAATGTGCCAGATTCTTGGCTGCACAGTCTAATCTATAGGTACATTATTTGAGGTAGCAAGTCAAATGTTCTTGCCTGTGAGAGTGGGAGGATTCTGAATTCATATAATAGCAAGGAGTTCAGTGTCACCGAAGTTATCACTGCAAATAGAAGAGTAGAGAAATAAGGCTTTTTAGGTGTCTAAACAAGGAGTTCAGATTTTTATTGTCTAGGAGATGAAGAACTATTGGTGGATTTTTGAGCAGTGATGGAACATGGTCATTTGCAGGGAAATAACATTCTTGGAACTCTGGAGATAAATTTGATCAGGCAAGACCTGCCTTTAGAGGTCTTAATCTTATGCCAATTTTTTTTGGGAAGATGCTCACAGGGTCACTCTGCAAAACTTTTCCAGCCAGATCCCCAAATTAAAGTTATTCCAGTGAGAATATAGAGAATAGTCTAGGTCAGTTACATAAACCAGTTTGGACTTTGAAAAATGAAATGTCCTATTTTTATACATTGCTAATAAAAACAACAAGCTTATGACTGCTTTCTAAAAATTCTAGGTAACATCGAAACTTCTGTATTGTTTTAGTTTCTAGTATATTAACAGTTTTTGTTTTTAGAATAGTTCAAAGAAAGGGGCACCATTTCATTTTATATTTTCCATCTGTAAAGTAATAAAGAACTGTCTACATTTCATATAGACTTTGATTTCATCTTTATGCAACTCCCATGAGCAGGTATTATTATCCCTATTTTAAAACTAAAGAAGCTGATTCCCAGGTTAAGCAACTTGGTTTTCATTACAGAAAGAGCTGGAATTTGAACCCAAGTCTCTCCAACATCAAAATCCTTTCTTTCTAATATATCACCATTCTCCTTGATAGCACTTGTATAGGTGGAATGTTGTTATTCCTCTGTACACCTTCTTTACAGAACATTTTCTTCATGTTATCTAAAGGTATGGTACAAATTAAAAACCTGTGAATCTCTGCATTAGGATAATTCAGCTTACCTAATTGTTTAGGTCACGTAGCCCCTTGTTTCCTCCGTAATAATAGAATAAAGAAGAGCCAGAGGAGCTCTGCTTTCCAATGACTTACATCACTCTGCAGACAATTGGCAGCCAGGAGACGGGCAGCTGCCACACTCTTCAGATTTCTCTCTATTTAAAGTTCAAAGAGAAGCTGGATAACAAAAGAAAGAGATAAGCGTGGCCTGACCTAGCCACCGACCAACAGGAATAATGGCTGAAAAAGGTAAGATTTAAGGCATTGGATTCTCTTGGCAAAATAAAAAAGGCTTCTTGACTTTGGTTTAGTTATGTTTCTTGGTGTTTCCCAGTTACTCTAAAAAATGTGGCTTCTATGCTAAATGACCATTACCCATATATGTTAGTGTGGCTGCAAAAATGCATTAATTATGTAATTTGTGGATCAGACCTATAGGTTATGAAAATTTTAAAATGACCAACAAAGCAAAAGAGCTTAGTTTTGTTTATGCTTATTTTGAAAGGTGAGTTAAAAATCAGCTCTGATTTCAATTCTGAGCCAGAATTGAAGACAGTTAAGTTCTGTGTCAGATCTGCTAGTAAATGGGTATGTGAGTTTGGAGAAGTCCCTATACCTCTCTAAGTCTGTTTTCTGACAGTAAAATGAGAATACTGGACTCAGTCGTCTGTTCCACATCTAACATTTTTGTTCCACGTCTAACTTTTTTCTTGTTTTTAAACATTTTTTGTATTTATATTTTATAGTTATATAAAATAATTGATTCCAATTTGTCAAAATAGGTTGAATATATACTATATCTAAGAAATAGCTTTTAAATATTTACAGGGATTTTTGCTTTGAATCTTGACAATGACCTTCTGAAATATGCATATCATCATCGTGCCCATTTTATAGATAAGAAAACGGAGACACAGCAGTTTAGTAAGTTGTTCATGATCACTAAAGAGTGGTGGCACCAGGTGTTTAACCTGGACAGTCTTTTCCAGAGTGCAATGTCTTCAAGAACAGTTCCAGCTGTAACTACTTTGACATGCTCAAAACTGGACAAGAGAGAAGCATTTTACAATTACACTTCATATTTAAAAAGATGTTTTGTTCTTATTTGTGCTAGTAATGTAAGTGACATATGCAAAGTATGTTGTGCTCTTACATATTTCTGTTTCCAAACAATTCCACAGGTGTTAGTAAAGTTGAAAATATTAGTGCTAAAAAAACACTAATGGAATGTATACTTTGAGTGTTAAAATGCACAGTTAGTGTAACTGTTACTATTTTACAAGGAAAATAAAAAATGAGATACTGACTTTCAAGGCTTTGTGATATGTAAATTTTATTAAAATATGCACATATAAAATATAAATGCACAATTAAAGGGTTAATATTAATTTTCAAGTTCTTTGAAATTGAGAAAAATACAAAGCCACATACATAGACAGTTCAAAAAAATTACTGCTATGTACTTCCATTGTGGTGGTACCTTAATTCATAAAAAGGCTTTCGTCCAAATGAGAGTAAAGGACTTCTCATGTTGTTTGCTTTATCCTTAAGCAATACCACATGTCAAGTAAAGAGAACAGTTTTCCATTTAGTGCTTAATGCCTTATACAAGGTCACAGTGAGATGGAGAAACAAGAAAAGCACGTTGAATTTTGTCAGTTAAGAGAGACTCTAGCATTCTTGGAAAAATAGAAGTATTAAAATTTATTTCAACTTCAGAAAGTTTGCTTTTATAAGAGTGTCTTCTAATTTTAAATGTGTCTCATCTCCTGATGATTTTATTTTAATAGCATTTTAAAAAATTTCACGTTTTAAAGTGATGGAAATTGTAATAGGAGTATAATTGCTAAGAATATGTATTCTCTCTTTTAACTAATGGCATAAGATCTAACTGTGTTTTGCAGTTAAGAATATATCTGAGTGCTTAACACAGGGACATTAATTCCATAGAATGTTTTTCTGTGATCTTTCTAAATCTTTTTGTGTGATGCATGTGTGGATTTCTGTGTGTGTACATGTGTATGTTTGCTTGAAAGAACAAGAATTAAATGCAGTGAATACTTGTAAAAAGATACTTGTATAAATTGCTTTTTACAGGTAAGAGAACAAATAGGAGGCACAGGAGGAATCATGTATAACAAACGCCATTTATATGTGTGTTGGATTATTACTGCCCATTGATTCAGGTTCAGTGCTGGTTGTTATAATGAATAATTTTTAAACAATAGAAATTCTTTTCTGTAGTCAAGAATGGTTATATAATGTATGATACTTTCCTTTTCCCTGTGATATTTAAAATTACATTCGGCTGTGGAGGCCAAGAACAATTCTCAACACCTTTCCCTGTGTTATAATTATTTACTTCAGTGGAAATTGTCTCAGAGTTGTATTAGATTGTTTTTTATTTAAATAGCTGCTGTATGTGTTATTGTACAAATGCATGGATGTGTTCTGTATACACTAAACACACACGGTGGTTAGAGTTTACAAAGCTTTGCACATATGTTATGTCATTTGACCTGCAAAACTATTCCAGGCAGTAGATAGCACAAATTTCATTACTGATATTTTACCAATAGGAAAGTTCAAGCTCAGAATTGCCCGAGGTCACATAACAGTAAAAGATCCGTGGTTTAATTCAAAATACCCAGGATTTATGACAGTCTCATGTATTCTCTGTAGAAAAGAAAAAATAATTATGTATGGGTATAACTAGAGAGTGTGTGCTTTTTTTCTTAATGTTACCAGATTCCTTTTATGCTCTTGACTCAGAAAATTCAATACTAAAAAGACCAATATAATCCGTTTTCTACTGTTTATTTTAAAGCAGGATCTACATTTTCACACCTTCTGGTTCCTATTCTTCTCCTGATTGGCTGGATTGTGGGCTGCATTATAATGATTTATGTTGTCTTCTCTTAGAAAGGTAAGGGTTTTAATAATTGAATGTTTATTTATAGTCTAAATTACTCCAGAAACAATTTTTTCTATTTTACTAATGGAATGTTTTGTCATTCAGGCAAGAAGATATCACATTGACATCACTTAGAAGAATTAAGAAAACTATGAACATGACTGATTATTAAATGTCTCATGTTAAACAATGAAATGTTTGACATCACTTTACAAACTTGGATTATAAACTGTACTTTGGTGTGCATAAGAATTTCTTCAGGACAATAAGAAATTATGAGTGAATTTATATTCTGAGTGAGAAAAATGTTTAGTTATGATGAAAAATGCATGTCATTTAAAAAGTTTGATAAATTTAATCACATTACAAAAAATTCTCCCCCCTACCCTCTGGAAAAAACTATAGAGAAAGTTGGCTAAGGCTGTGCACGGTGGTTCATGCCTGTAATCCCAGCACTTTGTGAGGATCCCTTGAGCCCAGGAATTGGAGACCTGCCTAAGCGAGAGAGACAGACTCCATCTCTACAAAAAAAAAATATATATATATGGGCCAGAGATAAAAACAGACAATTCATAGAACATATACTGTAAAAGTACACTTACTTAACCTCTTGTTCGCAAAAAGAGAAATGTAATTAAAACTACACTGAGGAATCATCGCTCACTTATCAGATGGGAAAAAAAATAAAGATGTTTGACAACATATGTGTTGGTAAGGCTGTGTGCAATTAGGCATTCTCATACATTGTCTTTGGGAATTCAAAATGCTATATTTTGGGGGATGTTTGGTGGTACATATCTATCAAAATTATATACATATTTAATTTTTGACTCAGCGATCCCTCTTCTAGGAATATGGCAATTTCCACAGGTATATGAGCAAAAATAGAAAATGACTTATATACAAAGCTATTTATTCTGGCATACTCTGTTTAGCAAAAACCTGGAAATAAGCCAAATATCTTTTAAGAGGGGATTAACTGAACAAACTGTGGTATGTCTACATAATGTAGTACTTATGCAGTTATAAAAAGGAATGAAAAGGATTTTTAGATACTGGTATGATGAGATCTCCAGGACAAAGTGTTAAGTGAAGAATCCAGCTATAGGACAATGTGTGCTACCTTTTATACGAGAGAAGAAGGGGCTATACCAATGTGTACATGTATTTGTTGAAATTAAAATATTGTGAGGAGAAACAAATGGAGGTTAGATATCTCTGAATATGTCTTGTTTTATAGTTTTTATTTTTGGAATCATATAGCTATTTTATAAGTTAAAAAGAAAAAAATTATTTCTCAAAATTTAAAACAAACTAAAGCAGATCTGATAGTATATCAAGTTGTGGCATAACCACACAGAGAAAAGACATCTTTCATGCATCTTTATAACATAGCATATTTGACTGTACACCTCTTATGGGGTAAAAATCTTAACCACATTCAGTAGTCTTTTTGTTCATGGTAATATTGATATGGTTTGAAATTAATATCATCAGCATAAAACTCAAGTAAATAATTGGTGATATTAAATCTGAATTGCAAATATCAGTATAAACTAATTATTTTTCTTCTTCTAAAACAAAAAGTCTATTCAAACTCTGTCCACTGGAAAAAGCCTGGGAGGAAGGAGTCCAGTCTGTAAGTCCAGTCTCCACTCAAAGGAGGCAGGGATCCCTACCCTAGCCTAGGGCAGAAAATGTACAATGTAATCTGCAATTTCATACCGAATGGATTAGTCTGATTATACCTGAACCCACTGATTAATTTAACATCACCAAAAATATTACAACTCAACATTGTGTTCCTTCTGATAGGAGATGGTAGAAAGTAGAGTGCCACCTATGAAGTATTCTTGGCAAAACAAGTGAACCTGAAGCAGAACAAGTTTCTGGATCTATCTAAGGCTACTCTAAACAAAATCATGAAGATATATTCTGCCAAGTCCAAAGTGTGGAAAATTATAAAGGACACATAATCCAGTTTTTCCAACAAATAACTAGCATTAAAAAGTGAGGTGGCTCACTCCTGTAATCCCAACACTTTGGGAGGCCGAGGCAGGTGGATCACCTGAGACCATCCTGACCAACATGGTGAAATCCCTCCGTCTCTACTCAAACACAAAAATTATAGCTGGGCGCTGGGCGTGGTCACATGCCTGTTCATCCCAGCTACTCGGAGGGCCTGAGGTGGGAGATGCTTGAACAGGGCGTCGAGCCTTGCAGCTGAGCCTGAGTCATGCCACTGCCACTCCAGTCTGGTGACCAGAGACTCCATCTCAAAAAAAAAAAAAAAAAAAAAAAAAAGAGTGAGGTGGAAAGGCAGGAAACTATGATACCGAAAAAAGGACTTAAAATGATAGCCCCAAACCCCAATGAATCCAACAACACAAAAGACCACATGTTCTTGCACTGTCTGTGATAAAGATATTAAAGAATTGTTATTAATTCTAGACATTCGACATGTTAGGGTTTGAAATGGTTGTTTTCTCCACCAAATTCATAATCTGAATTTTAATTTCGCAGCCCGTGGCAATTTGAGGGAGGGTGGGGCCTTAGCTGCAGGGTGTTTGGGTCATAGGGATATGATCCCTCATGAATGACTTCGGTGCCTTT